AAATCTGTATACATATATGCTCTGAAAAAAAAATCCCCTGGTGCATCTGGGGCATAGTTAAGTTATGTACATCCTACTAAGAGAGGAGCGAGCATGCAGGAAAGTGAAAATGTGTGCTATAGGTATTCTCCATTCCATACACTATGCCAGTTAGTAACACAAGTCAAATGAAACAATTCGTGTATCATCAACCTTGATTTGCTCATGTGTAACCCCCAGCTTGCCCGGAGACACTTGCTGCATATGCAAATTAGAGACTGTAGAATCCTGTTGGCATTTGGACAAGCACAGAAGTGACTTTTGAAAATCCAGTCCTTTATTTCATCCATCCAAATCCACAACACAGACATTAAAACATCAATCCCCAATGCACTATGAATATCAGTTCTACTTATCTGAACACAGCACACTGAAAATCAACAGGACAGCTGAATCTCTGCCTGGAAATGGAACCTTTACTTTCTTGAGCCAGGATATTGAACACTTCCTACAAAATTGTATTTTATATAGCATTACTTTTTAATATTTTCTGAACGCCATATAAGATAAATCTGAATGTCCTTTACATAGATACATTACTATAAGTGATAGGACTGTAATGCAACCTAGCATCTAAACATAAAAATATACTCTAAATCAGGGGTCAGCAACCTATGGCACACGTGCCAAAGGCGACATGCAAGATGATTCTGAGTGGCACTCTCACTGCCTGGGTCCCGGACGCTGGCCTGCGGCTCTGCAGCCGCCCCCAGCTGTGGCTCACTGCCCCCAGTCTGGGGCAGTGAGGGGTGCAGACAGGGGAAGAGGGGGCACAGCTCAGCACCCCCATCTTAAAAATTGTTCCAGCGCCACTCTACTGGGATATTTTAAAGTCCTGATTTGCTGCTTACATCACTATCACGTCATGTGGAACTGCACATTGCATTTGACGTCGTGCATGCTGTCTGTCGCAATTTTTCCCCCCACTATAAGTTGAGGGGTACATTTGACAAAATGTCAGCTCCTAAGAAAGCAAAGTTAGATGTCCATTAATTTCACTTCACAGCAACATTTGGTGGCTAAGTTGTGGCAAGGTTTTGGTGCACTTTGTAAACTGTTTTGATGCAATCAAGGCTTTTTTGTTGGAAAAAGGACAAAACTACCCCGAACTGGATGATGACAAATGGCTGTGTAAGCTCATGTTTCTAACTGACATAATCGCTCACCTAAACGAACTCAACCTCAGTCTCCAGGGTGCAGGGAAAATGGTTCTGGATCTCTATGAAACCTGGAAGGCATTTGTTGTAAAACTCGCAGTTTTTTCTCGGGATATTCGAACTTCGACTTTCTGCTACTTCCAACACATAAAAGAGCTATCGACACATTGCACTGTCAGTGTTGATGAGACTGGAATGTACATGCAAGAACTGGAATCAGAATTTTCTGACAGATTTCAAGATTTCCAGCAATTTGGCCCAATGCTTTCTTTTCTAATTAAACCTGAAAAGTTCAATGAAAGCGACTTGGATTTGTCTGTATTTCAGTGAATGAGTGTTGAAGACTTCAAAATGCAGCTCATTCAGTTAAAAAGCTCAGAATTGTGGGCAACGAAGTTTGGAGATCTGCAGAGTGCACTTAAAGCTACCGAGAGAGATCATGGGGCCTCTATTCTGACCTGCTGGGACACCCCTGCCAGTGAAATTTAACTGTTTGAAGAAAACTGCATTTGCAATGCTTTCAGCATTTGGATCCACATACCTGTGTGAACAGCTATTTTCACACATGAAATCTGTCCTCTGTCTCTCTCAGAACCTGTTAACAACTGTTCACTCAGAAGCCCGTGTGCAGCTTAAACTATCCAAATACGTGCCAGATATTGGAAAACTCAGCAAGGAAAAGCAAGGGCAAGGATCGCACTAAACCAGGGGTCGGCAACCTTTCAGAAGTGGTGTTCCAAGTCTTCATTTATTCACTCTAACTTAAGGTTTCACGTGCCAGTAATACATTTTAACATTTTTAGAAGGTCTCTCTCTATAATATATAACTAAACTATTGTTGTATGTAAAGTAAATAAGGTTTTTAAAAGGTTTAAGAAGCTTCTTTTTTCACTCTAATTTAAGGTTTCACGTGCAGGTAATACATTTTAATGTTTTTAGAAGGTCTCTTTCTATAAGTCTATAATATATAACTAAACTATTGTTACTGTATTACTGGCATGCAAAACCTTAAGTTAGAGTGAATAAATGAAGACTTGGCACACCTCTTCTGAAAGGTTGCTGACCCCTGCTCTAAATTATCAAAATATCCTGCCAACTCTAAATTGTTGGGTATCAGTCAGTAAGAACTGAAGTCATACAAATGGTACTGATTAAGGGGGACTGGAAATGGCATGCAGATCATAGTCTTTGGATCTTGGTACAAATCTGGCCCAGGCTGGTGATGGATAAAAATTATTAGGAGCTGAAAGGCTGTTCAATAGCCTCCATTAAGCACAATGAGAATACGTATCTAAAAACATCAGAATTGGTACTCAATGGCTTCAACAGAGACACCAAAAGACCAGATGGGCCTAAAAAGAACTACTCATTCACCAACAGAGATGGACCTTGAGGTCAGGGTTGAGGCAGAATGTCAGGAAAGCAGGCCCTACTGATGTCCCTGCTGTGTCTGTTCTGTAGCTAGCTAGAAGATTTCAGTCTCCAGGGCTGTCTAGTTGGCCCTAGAGAAGCACTAAACATTTTTTTAAAAGGTAAACAAATAAAAAAGAGAGTATTGATCTAAGTCTAGTAGACACGCACATAAATGGACAATTGATTGCTAGGACCCAATTCAGTATGAAAAATCCTCACAAGTTCTGAGGTAAGAGCATTTACAAAAACTGGCATATATAAAAATCTGGCAACTGTATCAAGAATCAATATGTCATGAAGCTAAATACCATTGTAGACCTGATTCTCTGCTGCCTTTCATTATGTGCAGTCATTTATATTTTTGAAATGTGAAAGTAAAACGCTATCAGATCAGAAGGAGAAAGGCAGTGGAAAACCAGGCACCATATTTTTAATGTGTCAGATGCCTAGGCTGTTATCCACAATTTCTATTCTTGTCTCTCACAAAGAGCCCATCAGTTAATGCCTCATTTAACAATCAATGCTATCTTTAAAAAACAAACAGATTTTTTTGGCACCTGATAGAAATAGAGGCCAGCACCATGAAATAAATTATAAGCAAAATATACACTTGCCTATTGGATACTTCAGACTACTCCACTAAGCAGCTTAAGTTACACACTGCACAGTTCAAAGCTGTGCGTATCTATTTATCCAAGTTCAGGGTGTCGCATGGTCCCAAAGGGTCCCACAAAAGACCATATTCATATAACCAAGGCAATTGGCTACTCATTACATGAGGTTCCAGAAATAAAGGAGAATGGCATAACCAGTCAGGATAAAGTTCAGAAGGCTCAGCCTCTAGCTACACCACACTGCACAAGGCAAGGCATTCACTTCACATTAGTGACTGGGCCTTTTGTAGGCAGGTTATTGATGAACCCTAACCATATGGAGAAAACTCTTTGGACAGAAACCACACATATAAGAAAGATCATGTAGCACTAATACAGGACAAGCTAAAAATGCTAATAATACATATGGGTGCAGTTACCTGTCACACTTCCCAATAACCAAGGCCACGGGTGGTACCACTCTCCATTACACAGATTTAAATTCTTTAAATTCACACTCAGACTGTTTTTCTCTGATATCTGACCCAAGATTAGTGCTTAGAAAACTTTACTGTCCTGGAAGTATTTGTACTGGGCTCACCAAAGTACTTCTAATTAGAGATATCAGACTCAACTCATACCATTCATATCACACTCTTTTTTGCCTACACCTTCAACTTCTGACATTATTTTAGAGGCTTATTTAGAAGAAATGCTGGAGGTCAAAGTCAACTTTTTATACCAACTGAATGCTGAGGTTCTAAACTTTAAGGTGATATGAAATATTGGTTTCTAGTTGTTATGGATCTTGAAATAGCAGCTGCTAAATCATGTTGGAATAGACATTGAGTGAAAAAGTAAAATAATAAACCACAGTTATGTGATGTCAAGCTCAAATGTGTATCAACTGTACTGGGAAAGAAAGTTATATATCCGTGGGAAGCTGAGATATTTTTTGTCTTACCAGTTGTGTAGAGCTTTCATTTTTAGCCCAGATTGTAGTCAACAACGGTCCTTCCATCTAGCAATGCTTTTTGTCACGGATCCAGGAATGAACACAGCAAAACCCAAATTAGTGTCATTTCCATTTCCTAAATCCTAATGTTTACAAATGGTTAGAGATCTTTGATGGCCTATTGTAGGAAGGTGGTGCATTAGCTTTCTAATGTATACACACATTTTAAAAGAGCCTATTAAATTACAGTTGCTGTCTGAATGATTCTTGTGCAATACAATGGGCTAGTGCAGTAATACATTTTAACATTTTTAGAAGGTCTCTTTCTATAAGTCCATAATACATAACTAAACTATTGTTGTATGTAAAGTAAATAAGGTTTTTAAAATGTTTAAGAAGCTTCATTTAAAATTAAATTAAAATGCAGAGACCCCCGGACAGGTGGCCAGGAGCCAGGCAGTGTGAGTGCCACTGAAAATCAGCTCGCGTGCCGCCTTTGGCAAGTGTGCCATAGGTTGCCTACCCCGGAGCTAGTGCAAGTGATCATGACTCCCTCTAGTGTCTGATCCCAGGGATTATTCAGCCTACTACAATTCACAAAATTCTCCTCAGGTAGCAGAGCCTTCATTTTTATGCTAACAATCCTGGATTTGATACCTGCGGAAAACTGTGGTATCTGTGTGCATGAAAGCCATAGCTCATTAGGCCAGATTATGAAAACAAACTGATTTTACATCTAAGAATTAGACAATTAGTAAAAATATATATATTTGGCAAGCCGATTTAAATATGCCAAAATGCTTATTTAAATGTGCAAAATTTCAAGCTCAATCGATACAGTACCTGAACTTCCAAAGATCACATCCCATGGTGAGCTGATGGGCTGCTCCTCTCCTTTTGCTCCACCCTCCTTGTCCGTGCCTTGTATTCCAATGCCTGCTACAGTGTTCACCATCTCTAATTCAAGATCAATCTAAGAGGGAAAAAAGTAATACATACAATGATTTTATAGGCGGTGATATTGACTTTTTCCTTAGCTAACTGACCTAAATGTCTAAGGGTACGTCTACACTGGAGCAGGAGATGTAATTTCCCAGTTGGGTAAACACACCCATGCTAGCTCTCATCGAGCGAGCACACTAAAAATAGAAATATAGCTGTGGTTTTGTGAGCGATGGAACGGGCAAGCCACTCCAAGTATGTGCCCATGGTGTCAGACAGGACCATTCTCACGTGTGGTTAGCCCAATGCACTGCTCATGCCATGGAAGCTTCACTTCTAGTTTTTAACAAGCTAGTTTGATCAGGGCTAGAGTGGATATGTCTACACAAGCTAGGAATTACAGCTCTAGCTCCTGTGTAGACTTACCCTAAAACAGAAAGTCTGCTATGTAACAAGTTGCCTACAGACAGAAACTGATTGCCAATTTGAGTGTCACGTATTTTACAAGACAATTAACAACTTTGCTAAAATTAGTAGACTTATTGAAAAGCCTCATTTTATTTTCCATCTGCACCAAAATGGTAAATGACCTTTCTGTCATGATTAAGTCAAAGCAACTAAAGAAATATATCAGGTCTTCTCTACAAAAGTGCACGGACAATGGACACCTATGTTAGAATTTTATTTTAAAATAAAACAATGTGTTTTAAAAAAATTATATACACACAAAAACATAACATGTATCATAATGTGCACACGGCAAATGATACTCTAGAATTTACTTAATTAGTAAGATGTGCAACTCAGGCTATGTCTACACTACAGATCTTACAGCAGCACAGCTGTACCACTCCAGCTGCACAGCTATAAGATCTCCTGTGTAGGAGCTCTCCACTCCTCCACAAATGCTAATGTAGACAAAGCTTAATTTATGCCTATTTCAGTGAAAAAGAATGTTCTGTTTCATTTCTGCCTTCCCAATCCCCCGCTCTCCTCCTGCATTCATTTTCAATTTTCACAAAGGATTTTCTGATTGAGTCTTCCTCCAATTTGTCATTAATTACTCCTGATGATTATGTAAAAAAGGAATAAAGAGGAGCCTGTTTATATGCAATATTACACCACATCTGTACCAATAATTCCACTTTCACATTTAAATTTGTCTTTTGCTAGCATCAAAAACAACTGAAAGCACACAAAAATAGCTTTTAGATTACCTCAGTTCTTTAAAGATTGTGCTATCGAAGTACCCCTTCAGAAAAAGGGCAATGGTTAATCATCTAGGAATAACTATTTGCTAAAGCAATAAGTTTCTATGATATGTAGAAAATGCTTTCATCAGTAAGATGTCATCTTTTTGCTCCCATGAACTGCAACTCCTTGGTCTTCTGAATCAATCACAGGCCACATCCAAGATCCAAATCACAAATTTAAGGAGTACCACATTTACAACAGCATAGCCTTTCATTTAATAACCGGGAGGAATCGAGTCTATAAATTCACATAGTGAGAATCCTAAATTTATAAGAATATAAATGACTACTTGTGGCTTGTTATCTACTGCATAGCTCTACAAAAACTATGAGTCCTACTCTACCACAGCGCCACAATACTTGTACTGTACATAAAAGTATGATGTTAGGTTTGTAACTTGAAATGAAGGGAAAACAATTTCCATATTCATTACTAACAGTAGATATTTCTCATAGAAAAATAATAGGCAAATCAGGGGTTTGTCAGGACAATCAGGTATGCATCATTTTACTGGAAAAAATGTCATGGCACACAATATTTCAATTATTATTGAACATTTTCCATTAGGAAAGTATTAAATTGCTGTTATTAATAGTTTTCAAGTATTTAAATATAGCAAAAGTGGACATGATTCCTCTAAAAACAAATTGGGCAGAAAGTATTGGTTTAGTTATTGATAAATACTGGGCCAAATTCTACTCTCAGTTACACAGAATAATTTGTGAATAATTTCTTTGATGTCAATTTTCATCTGTGCAACTGGGAATAGAATTTGCACTGTTATCCTTTAACTTGCTTTTAAATGAAAATTTTACCTTTCTAATCAGATGGTTTTCTGTATCAGCTACAAAAATAATGTTATTCTTTATAGCCACCCCTTGCGGTGAATTGAATGCTGCCTCTGAAAATCTTCCATCTTTTCTCCCACTGTTTGGTCCTAAACATGAAACAACCCAATCAAGAGAATAAAATTTCACACTGCACAAAAAGGAAAACAGTAAGCAATCACATGTACAATTATTTTACAGATTTAAGCATTTTCCACAAGGTGCTTTTGCAGCTCTGCATACAGTTCAGTTATTTTTTAGATCTCTTCTGTATAGTTTCATTTTAGAATCACCTTGCTGTGCAACAGCAATGATACAATTCAATATTCTGACATTTTTCTCCTCAATTTCTAGGCATACATGGGTTCTCCGCTCAAGCAACATTCACAATAAAAGTTTTTTATTGGGATTCTAAATTGCTTCTCTTTTCTTGGACTAAGACAGACACAATTTTAGAAAAGCCATCTCTCAGTATTTAATCCTGGCTACATCAAAGCAAATTAGCTACAAACATTTTAACTTCATTACTTTTATTTACTTCAATTATTTAGTGTTCTGGATAAGCTGCAAATCAAGGTAATTTTCAGCTAGCAAAAATAGTTCTTGATCAGTAATTACTAGCAACAAAGAGGTATTGAACTGCATGTAAAGGGCAGCATGAAGAATGCATCTAGTTAGCCTTCTAGAGAGCACGATAAGGAGAGAGAAGAGCATCATGATCTACATAAAAAACTGTAAATGTAAGTATCATATCTTACAATGAGAGACAGAATATACTGTAAAATGAATTAGCGGCAGCTGTCACAGGAAGACATTTAGACTTTATTAAGTTTGCATCACGATCTATGACGCAAATTCAGTTATTTTAACCTTAGTGGATACCAACACTTATTACTGAATTATAATCTTTGCTACATTGTTTTCTGCCCACAACTCTTTTACTGAGTCACTAAAATAAACAAATTACTATTAACTTTTACATATAAATTGTAAGATGACAGTTTAGGGTTTACAGATAGCAAATACAGGATGTGACAATGCCAAATTTAATTATTTATGCAGAATCAAGCTCAAAAAGTACTTGGATGCAAGACCTCTCAGAGACTGCACAGGATGGGATAAGTGGTCTTATTAATTAAAATAGATAGTACTCTTCCCTTTGAATCACTATTGAATGGCTAACCCAACATCATATTAAGGAACACCTTGCTGTTAGAAACACCATCTTACTGGTCATAAGAATTCAAATAAAACCTCTGCTGTTGTGGAAGGTGCTAACGCTGGTGTCCTGATCAGATTTTTTACTTGGATAATTATGTTCTGCCTACTTAATCTGCTGTCATTCAACTAATAAGGTTCCTGTTTTAAAAACTGTAGTATTGCTGGCACTGTTTTAGTAACTGCAACATCCTACAACGAAGCAGGTGTTATTCAATGGCAGATGAATTGAAATAATCCATATATACACAGAGGGCCTGGTGCAAAACTCACTGATGTCAATGGGAAACTTTCCTTTGACTTTAATGGTTTTGCATCAGACCCATAAAAAATTTTGTCAATAGTGGTTGTCAGTAGGACGGCTTGTAATTGAGCTGTTATAACAGGTTTACGTTTAATATAGATATGACCAAAAGAACCTATAAGATGCAATCACTGTTCACTTTTTTTATGTAAGATTATAACAAAAAATGCATATAAGAGGTGCAGAAGAATGATTAGGTCTGTGTGGTGAACAAAAGAGAAAGCTGAACACTTTTAAAGAGACATTAAAAATTACCTTTGCTACCCAGGCTATCTTAGTAACTAAATTTAAATATGTAGTTTACTTCTCACTATGCAGTATGTTACTTTTGCATTCTTGCTTTGTTAGGAAAAAAGGACTAGGCAGTTTGACAATTATTTCTAGTCAATTTCTAGACTTTTAGGTTTCTATACAACAGTTCAAGACTTCAATTAATTTGTTGCAGACACTACATGAGATTGTTAAAGAGCAATGCTCCTAGGGAATCCCGAGTTAGCAGCTGGCCTCAGGATTCCACTAATAAGAAAGGGTTCATCAGTATTGCATTTTCAGTGGACTGAGGGAGGTGTTTGTGTCTCGCCTCATCTCCCTGGCTCACCCACTCCCTTGCAGTGGATTCTGTCTTTGTGGTGTCAGGGAAGGAGCGACAGAGTACCTGCTATTTAGATGTACAGCACCATGTACACAAAGCGATCTATAACTAGTAATTGTCTGGGCAGATTCTATACTCTGCTATCTGTACTGCATGTTGAAATTAATATAAAAATGTCAAAATTACTCTAACAATTAGAAACATGAGGCACCTTAAACAAGTGTATTCATAGAGTCTCTCACACAGATTTGTTCTAAAAGTTATTTTACTATCCAAAAAAAATATTTAAAAGGGAGTTGTAAGCAAAATGCTTAAACAAAATAGTTGAAAAAAAAATCAGTAATTATTTTCAAATGTCTACAATATGCTGAGCGCTGAACACAAAGAATGCAGAACTTCTCTGAAAAGCCTATGCTCTAAAATAACATGATTCTGAGAAATTAATGTAAATCTTACCTCCAATGGTGTGTAGGATTTGCCCATTTTTCCTGACAACCAAAATCCTGTGATGTCCGGTATCTGCTATCACGAGTCTATTTCCTGAATTGTCTACAGTCACTTTGCCAGGAAACAGCAAGGGAGAAGAAGGCAGAGAGTCTCTGTACAATTTTATTCCAATTTTGTTATCTGTGATTTGTCCTTTCTCTTTGTAGAACTTCAGAGCAATAGAAGTAAATAAAAATAATTTATCTTTGTGTCCCTCTCCAACAAGAGAAAACAGCATATTTCCACGAGGCCCAAGAATGACCAGAGTTGGCCAGCAAGACACTTCCAGCTCATGCCAAAGTGTTGCATCAGCATCATTTACCACAGGGTGGGTAATGTTATATCTAAGAACAGCACTTTTAATGTTATTGAGAACCTTTTCGTTTGGGAACTTCGCTGAATGGACACCAACAACAAGAAGACCATCTGAAAGCAAAAATAAAAGAGTCTTGCACTGAAACATGCCTGCATCTGAATAAGAGTTTGAATAAGAGATTAAAAACAAAGTACAGTCCTAAATCACAACATGACTGACTTCATTACAAAGTGAAAGAGGTGTGATATAAGTTAAATAAAATAAAGATCACAGCTCAATACAGTAATGGCTGCACAACCTATCCATTAATACTAAATACTATGGTTTACAAGTAAGATTTCAGTACAGTTTAGATGCTATTACTTCCCAAGCTGGTTAAGATTTAGTGCATCAAAAATTTTTTTTTTATTTGGTTGGTCCCCTTCACAAGTAATAATATGGAGATGCTAATGGTTCCACTGAAATTTAAAATTTTCTCAAGCGTTCATTTCATCAACATATTACTTTTAATTCTACTGCACAGCTTTTCTGCTTTAGAAAAATACAGTAATGGAAAACTACATTCTAAAACTGGTAATCAAACTTACCACAGAAATCTGGAACTAGTAAGTAGGATATAAATAATTCTTTCAAAGTTACCATGAAATAGTTGGAGATTGAGATACTGTAACATTCAGTGTTTCAACAAACATTAGAAACACATCAGTATAATAAATAGTGCTTATGACAAGCCAGATATGAAACTTTTCATGTACTTCATTTTAGGGAGGACTAATACAGAGTCTTAGAAATCAGCTAAAGAAACCAAACTGCCTCTGATTTTCCCCATAAGAAACAGAGGGGATAACAGCCTTGATATCCTAAGAGAAAAGGTGCTATATAAGTGAAAAGTAAAGTAATGTACACCAGCAGCCACCCTAGGTCACCCATAAATAAGATGGAAACAATCAGCTAGTCACCTTCCTCAAGTTCCTTGACTACTTTTTCTCTGCTTTCATAAAATTCAAAGCAAGTTTTTCATTTCTAGTTAATTTTCTTTTCATGACAAAGGTTAAGTTTATTTAGTTCTATTACACTTGGCACTTATGGACGCTGCTGCTCTCCTGCCAGAAAGTAAGAGAAAGAAGCTTCACTTCACCTTTTAGTAATCTTCCAAGGAACAAAGCCGAGACTATTTAATTTTCTATTTACCATATTTTGGCAAGGAGAAACCAGAACTGTCTCAGAAGGATTAATCGATATTAGTGTCCAAGGTTCATTGTATACCTTTACCTATATCATTTCTGCATACTTTTAAATTTCAGGACACAACTATATATATTACATAAAAGGCACACACAGTCCCACGTTGTTTGTAGTTAGAACAGAGGTGAAAGCACAGTACTATTTGGAGTGGTACATCCTATTTAAGGTTTTATATTGTGTTTTGGTGAGAGATTATGCTGTTATATTAAAGGAATTTAACTGTGCATGTGACATAATGATATTTCCTAATCTTTCTTAGCAAAGTTCTAGAGTGCTATTAGCCATAACTATATTTTTATGTTATACATAAGTAATTCATGAACTCTGTTCTTCCTAACCTTACAGATCTGAGTGGAACAGATCAGATAGTTTGGGATTGTGGTTCAGACAAGTTCTGGAATCTGTCTGTTTCCCAGATTGCGCTGCTCACAGCTATGATCCCATTTAGTCTCCCATTCCTTTTCTTGAATGGAGCAAAATTACATCAACTAGGCAGTTGTATAAAGCTACTACTTGATAAGAAATCAGAATTTTTAATACAATGGAAAACCCTGGCAAAGCATAATATAGCCAGTACTTTTCCAAGATCACTCATGCTTCTGAATAGTGTAAGTGTTCTGGAACCATAAATAATATCTGGAATCTCTCAACCTTGGTATCCAAGTACAGTAGACCCTTGTTTGCAGCAACACCTTGTAAGAGCAACCGCCGCTTATGAGCAATATTTCCGTTGAGAAGACTTTCCCTACTGTGAATTGTCCACTTGGTAACAGGAACATAGCTACCACATAAGAGCAATGTTTGTCATGTTGTGATGTCACATCCAGGGAGTGGAGACTGGGGGGGCGTGTAGGGGCATTGTCCCTCCCAAACTGTATCTTTCCACTCCCTTCCCAACCCTGGCCCTTCAGCACAGCTCCAGGGCACACAACCCCATCCACTTGCCCTGCCTGATAGAGCCTGCATGGAGAGCATGTGTAGGGAGAGTTTGGAGTTAGGGTTTGGAAGAGAGATTTTTGGGGGGAGGGGGAAAAAGTTGGGGTTGGGAGAGCAGCAGAGGCTCAGCCGGAAGGTTTCCTCCTCCCTTTCTCATCGTCTGGCTTGCAGGCAGAGGGGTATGTGCATGCTATTTTGCACTGGGGAGTATTGGAAACCCCCCCCCGCCAGCATGCATTGAACTATCCTCTCCAACTTGGTTGCCGGGGGAGGGCTTTGGGTGTGCTGTTTTGCAGTGGAGGATCGGGGAACCCCATGCCCCAGGGCACTGACCAGTCCCCACTGTCCGTTCTAGAGTCCACTCCCTGCTCCATTGCAGGTTGCGCATAGTACCCTCCCCATCCATCCATTCCTCGCCAGAGTGGAGCACGAAGGGCCAAATTCAAGATAATTGACCATTTTTTGTATTCTTTTCTTCATCTGATGTCAACTTTTCTTTTGATCATGCATACAGAAAAAGTTTATGACACCAGAGATTCCAAGCACCCCACTTCCAATTTGTATTATTCCTTTAGGAGAGAGCAGCACTCAGGATTGAGTCTCTCTGTGCTGAGCCTTCAGTTTCAAGGCTCATCCATACTCCTAGCCATTATAAACAGGAGCAGGGAGAGGGGGAATGGCAAATGAAATTACTTCAAGAGCAGAGCTACCAACTTTGATTATGAAGCAGTTTGCTTCTCAGGTGAATTCTCTGTGGTTCACCAGACAGGACTTAATCTGAAGGACCTGAGTAAATTTGTCAAACTGGTACTATAGGTCGACAGTATGAAGACCTCCTGTAGTGCTTGGGTGGGAGCCATGGGTGGGGTGGGGTCGGGTGAATAGAAGCGGATAGGCTATTGCCCCTCCCGCATCTCCTCTCTCTCTCCTTGTGAATATATTGTGTAACAATCAATCAAGCATGCTCGTGCATGCACAAAACACACAAACATGTTTTTAAACTCTTATACCATTGACAAATCACCAGTCCACCCAAAGGCACATCCTAGCGACCAAGACACCAACTCCCTGCCAAGATTTCAAGTTTCTAGCTTGCATGTTTTTTTTTTTTTTTTTAAATAATGGGAAAATATTTTTCATTCTGGAAAATGGTTGAAACGTTTGACTCAGATTTTTAGAAGTTCTTGCACACTGAACACCTGCCAAAATTTCAGTCTAACAGGTAAAAGGGAAAGTGTTAAAGAAACAAAAACGATTCCTTTGAATAGAAATGTGTACACTACCTGAATATAGATGTCACTCTGCTTCTTAAACTATAACTGTATTATGCAGTGGTGGTAAATCAGGTGGAGTGATAGTAAATAACGAAAGAGTACATGGCAGTGAGGAATATTTTGTAAAGTCCATGTTTCTGGGTAGGTGGGAGGAGGGAATTTATTGGACTCCACTGAAACACATTTTAAAGTTTTTAGTCCGAGAATATTGAAGTCAGTAGGTATGTCAACGCTGCAGCTGGGAGCATCCCTCCCTGCCTGGGTAGACAAACTCTTGTGCTAGCTTTGCTCAACTACCATACTAAAAGTAAGTGTGGATGTTGTGGTGGGCAGTGGCTTGGGCTAGCAGCCTCAGTCCAAGCCCACCTGACTGCCAGGGGTTGAACTAGGGTGGCTAACCCAAGCCACTGCCCTGCCACAACATCCACACAGTTATTTTTAGTGTGCTAGCTAGTGCAGAGCTAGCACGTGTCTGTCTACCTGAGTTGGGAGACGTGCTCCCAGCTGCAGCATTGATATAGACCCATGGGAAACCCCATTGGGTAAGTGTCTAATTGCACAGATCTGATTTCAGAATCAGAGCCCTACTCCTTCTACTTGCCATTGCAGGATAGTTTCCTTCAGCAGGGGATGGATGGATCACTCGATAAGTGCCCTGTTCTGTTCATTCCCTCTGAAGCATCTGGCATTGGTCACTGTCAGAAGACACGATACTGGGCTGGACAGACCACTGGTCTGATCCAGTATGGCCATTCTTAATATGTTTTCTAGTACGTTGTCCAGTCTTACTTTAAATGTCTCATATAATAGGGTTTCCCACAGTCCTCACAGGTGACTAGTCTACAGTACAGCAGATCTTACCATTAGGAGTTTTTTCAGCCTCGTTTTCCTTTTTGTGATTTCAACCACTTACTCCATTTTAACCCTTTTTGTACCACACTGAACTCTCTCTGACTACTGAACATAGTCTTCAAATATTCATAGATAACTGTGTGTCTGATCTATTCTTCCAGCCCATTTTTAATACAGTGTATGCTTAGGAAATCTTTACAATTAGCCTGTGTATAATTTGCACAGTATGTTATGTAATATGAAACAAATGAAACAAACAGGAAAATAATACAGATAAACTAAGCATTAAATCAAAGTACAGCTCTTTACTGTATTAAAGTAATTTCTGCAAAGGTGAATGCTTGTTTCGTTGTAAGTCTTTTTAAAAAACTGTTTGAATAATCACAAATTAATATAATAATTTTAAGATGTGGAAAAACATGGAAGTGTTTAAAACCACTAAGCAACGAAACTTTCAGATAACATTTGAAAACTGACTTTCTGTATACAGCAGTGTAGGTCCAAGGCACTGAAATACGTATGCCAAGGATTAAATCAATCTTTCTTTGTGAAAAAACAAGCTTAGTTTATACTTTATACTGACAGACTGATTTTTTAAAATCTTTACACAAGTTACGTCAACCTTTCAGCACCTCACATAGAACTTCTCAGAAGAATGTTTCCTTTCCCTTCTGTTATACAGTGTTGACAGAATATCATCATAAATGAAATTGTAAATACACAACATGTCTTGTATTAATAAACTAAAACCTAAAAAACAAGTTTTTAAAGACAGTGGCAACTATCAGATTTTCCTTTCAATT